CGGTGGATCTAAGTTGACACAAGGAAGCACACTTGATCAGAAGATACAATGACAGGCCCTAGACTGGCTCTTCCTGTGTGGCAAGCAGGTCTATTAAGCAGAGTTTACAGATGTGGTGGAATGGTTCACTGTGATGTCCCAGGGAAGGTTCATGGGCAACATGTGAGCCCTGGGTCATTTCTCCAAGCCACTGGAACTTGTGCTATGACATTATGGATCTCAGAAATTTAAGTCAGCCTCACTAGAACTTAGAAGGACAGTGCAGAGAAATGACCAGGCAGGAAAAAGCCCAGTGGGGTCATCTCTGTGGGGATGGAGATTACACTACCAACTGGAAGCCCAGAGTCGCTCATGCCTTCCCATGGAGGAAGGCTTCTCCATCACCAGGTATTTGATGTCTTCAGAAGCAGAACAGTTAGGAAACATCAACTAACAAAGAAATGGGTGATTGCTATCAACTTTTAGACCTACTTGTTTTTGTAAAGGTTGAGGGGATCCTTGGCAGATTCTATGGCAGTTGAGGGTGAGAGTGGCAGAGGGACTAACACACTAGTCAGACAGAGCTTATTGAGAAGTTTTATTAGAGAATAGGGTGGGAGAAAAGAGGTAAAATGACACAGATACAGAGATGCAGAGAGGATATAAGAGAAGAGGGAAACAGGAAAAGTCCTGTGTGACCCAAAGGAACAGTGGGAAAGACAGACACAGAGAGAGAGAGAGAGAGAGAGAGAGAGAGAGAGAGAGATCAAGAATCAGAGAACAGAAAGACAGCAGGAAAGAGAGGGTTGGAAAGAGATTGTAAGTGGGCAGAGTTCTTTCTTTCAAAGGGTTTTTTGCACAGGGGCTGACCGGGGCACTGCCTGAGGTCATTCTGCTGGTGACAGGAACAGGCCAGCATAATTCCTGAATTGTTACACTACTTTTTAAAATATCATTTAGAGGTGTTGTCTTGGGAGTATGTGTGGACATCTCTTAGCCCATCATGTAACTGACAGGAAGCCTCTCTTCCACAATGCTACTTTCACTCAGGGAAGGGACCTGGAGTGCTGTTGGTTTCCTTGGGTTCTCAAGTGGTTGGATACTATTCCTGAGTCTTTAGAGAAAAGCAGTTGTCTTGGATCATGTTGTGTGTTATTGTTAATCAGAGCTAGGACATGTGTCCTTGCCTCCATGTGCAAACTTTTTGGATTGGCTCTCTTTGAGTGGGGCCCTCCTGTGTTCCTACTTAACAGAAATAATTTAAAACAACATCTTCCCACTTGGCACCTGGCTCATGACTATACCCAACCCCCAAAGCATTCATTTATATTGACTATACCCAACCCCCAAAACATTCTTTATATTGGTGGGAGCTCACAAGTAAAGCACCACATGTGGTTTTCATTACACGGCCAAATGTGACAATACCAGTGACTGTGATAATACACAGAAACCCCCTGGCAGCCCCTCCACTCACCACTGCTGGGCTTGCAAGGGCAATGTACCAGGGATCTGCCTAGGTATCTTATATGCAAGTGCTGTGAAAACATCTCCCAACCACAGTGTGGGTCAATGTGGATCAGGGCAGTGTGGAACTGCCAGAATCTATCCCATTGCTGTTCTCTGTGGGAGGCATTAAGAGAGGGAGGAGCAGCATGTGTAGGACATGCTATGGGGTTGCCTCCAGGATTTAGGAGAGCTGGCTTGGAGGGTAGCACAGAGTTGGTTTTGCTTTGCAGTGCTGGGCTATAAAGAGATGGGGGTTTGAGAGAGTGGAAGGAATACTCACAAGGGATTCAGGTTAAAATATTTGAAAACTGCCACCGTTACAGAGGCCCTTCTGGAAACTGATCCTCATTGATGGTGCCTTGCATCCCGCGAGCATCATTACTGCTTAATGGACCAGACAGAGTCACACTGATCCATCTCTAGGGAGAGATCTAGAACACTGATGAGTTTTCTGCCAGGGATTCCCAAAAAAGTCTCTCAGGGATGGGAAAGCCTAGGGCTCCTCTCCACAGCAGCATCAGGGAATGTTGGAGAATGGAGAGGAAGATCTCTGCTGGAACAATGCTCAGTCAAATGAACCCAGCAGGGAATTCCCTAGGGGACATTTGCAAACAGTACAATCTCCTCTTCCCTATGACCCTACCCCAATTACCACTGACTACCAGGACCAGAGAGCTACCCTCCTGTTTCTCTTTATCTTTCCAGCATCTTCATTGGGACAGAACATGACTGTCAACCTCGATGCCTCTGTGTCTACATTTGCTACCCTGCCTGTTCTCCCACCTGCCCCCCAGCCAACATTTCAATTATTCTGGGAGTCCCCAGAACCCCTCCTGACTGGAAGTATCTCTCCCTGGAATCCACTAGTGTTATCTGCCTTGCCTGGGATGTCTTTGGTGGCAGAAGATGGAAGTACGACCCTGGGTACAGCTGTACCTTTGAACATTGTGCAAGTGGGGAAAACAGGCAGGCCTGTACAGGCCATGCCCAACGCCAACCTTTTCCTCACTCAGGTGCCCCTCAAATGTAATGTCCCTGTGACCCAAGGTGGGGTTATAGGGTGCCTTGCTTTACACTTCATGACAACACCTGAGGCAAATACCTTCATAAATACTCAAATTGCTTCGGCCTTCCAGTCCCAAGACGGATTGTGGGACCTGGGCTCTCACCCTCCCACAACACAGCCAGTTGTCCAGTTGGTTCCTGTCCAGTCCCCAGGGAACTCAGCACCACCTCCAAAAGGAGCCCAGCCAATGTTCAAACCAACTCCCCAGAAACCCGCTTGTCCAAACCAGACAGTGTCTATGGGAATATCCGGCGCTGGCAGCATATCAAGATTCTGGTACAGCAGCACCTATTCTATACTCCAGACATGTCATCTTTCTCCTGCTTCCTCATGTGAGTGTCACCTGTGCCTTAAATGTCCTACTGGGCTGCCACATGATGAGTGTGTGGTGGACAAGGAAGGTGCTGAAGGTGACAGAACCACTCCAGAGAGTCACAATCTGAGAAATAGAGGTGTCACACAGGGGATCCTGGAGTCCCAGAAAGTTAAGGTTTGGATTTAGGCCTTTCACTCCATTTGGTAGCTCTTTGCCTTAGCAGTTTATCTTCTAGCATTGATTTTGTGTTTAGGGCCCACAGCATGTCACAACCAGGATGAGGAAGAGTGCTGGACTTCAGAAAGACCACTACATTGGTCCCTCACCCCATCATCTAAGGAATTTCCCTTAAACCAGAAAGGATCCAGACCTTCCCTGGGGAAACTTTTGGTCTCTCTGCTCCATGTTTATCCTCAGCAGTGATTTGCACCATTGCCCCAGTCATTGACCCTAGGTTCCAGATCATGCTATGCATTTTGCCAGTCAGCTCAGGCACATCACCAGGTAGACTAGAAGAATGAATCCACAGGCACTGTTATCTCACAGTTCTGGACACCAGAGACCCAGACAAGAACTTGAAGAGCCAGTTCTGATTCAGTCTCCATGGCTGTCTCACAGTACTAAAAGAAAACTTGGGGAGGCCTCTTCTCCATTCCAAGAAGAGCACTATCCCATCCTGAGAGCCCCACATCATGACCTAACCTTGCTTACAAACCAAGGCCCCATTTCTAATGACTTTCACTTTGATTTTGTCAGCCACAATTCCATGTTGGGAACGTAAGCCCCATGCATTCTTCCACACACAGTGATAAAAGGAGACTCACATGGCAGGCTGGGAAATAGACATAGATCTTTGTGTTGATGTCTGATGCATGGTTAGGAGTTCCTAGAAGCTGACATTATTCTGACTCAAGGTTATAGATGCATCTTGGGCAGTGTCTGCTAGGTCAAGATTATTGGGTTGAGTGGTTCTAATGAATTACAGTCCATTGCTTCGGTCCCTGGCCCAGAGGAAGCCCACCATGAATGTGGAGGAGGGCCTGTGGAGGAGGTCTTCAGGAATGGCAGTGTACATGCAACTATGACCAGATTATCTTCTTTGAGATGGCTGAAAATTGAGTCAAGAGAATTTTGAAGCAGGGCATGTGGAGAACTGTTTAACATGGATGGGCCTCTTGAGTCAGGATTCTGGAGGAGGGTATATGTTGGGGGTACTCCTCAGTTGGAGCTTGGTGTGGAGAGTTTGTCACCCACACAATGCCAGGAGGATTACCCAATACTTGGGCACCTGGTGTTAATCCATGAGGTCCAAAAGCCTGCTCTCACTTCCTTGAGTGCTGGCCTATCTGCCCCATGGTCCCAGCATTTCTGACCTCATTGGCCATGAATCTGTCCCATGCCTTTCTTTTGAAGGTCAGAGTTGACAAACTGACCCATTCCAGCCCTGTTGTGTCTCCTCCAGCACTGTGGATTGTTCAATGCAAATATGCTCCACAAGTCTTAAGTTAACTACCTGGTACTGAGCCACTGCTTTTTGACAGTAGAGACTACTGCATCCCAATAGGGTGGCCTCAGTCATATCCTCATGTACCTGGAGTGGTTGTGAACAGAATCATGCAGAGAGTAAGGAAGCCTCTTACACATCTGAGGACATGTCTCTGGTCTTCATGTCTTTGCTCACTGTGATACTGTCATGCACACAAGCCAGCAAACAGCTCTCAGAGGGAAGCAGCCACACCTCTCAGTTTCCCTTCTACTTTCTTGGCATCTCCTGGGCCCTTGTCTCCCAGCTCATTCCAGCTCTCCCACCCTTAGCTTAAGCATCTCTGGATCTGGTCCAAGATCCCTGATGTACTTCATCAGTCATATCTGTGGCCATCTACGCTTCTGTGTGGCTCTAGGCAAGGTCAAGATATGCCTTAAGGGAGAGTCACATGAAAGCCCCGACTGGGCGACCTCAAACTTTTTTGATTCCCACAAATACCAAGGTATATAGTGTGCCCCCAGAGCTGTGGTTATGTTCCAAGATTAGCAACTTCATGGGACTGTACCAGATCATCCCAAGACCCTGCACACATGATCTTCTTTAGTAATCTCTTGGATGGGTCCTGCCCTCCCTCATCCTTAGGTTTACAGAATTTGATAGTGCAGAAGAGAAGGAGAATTCAAGGCTAGAGATGATGAGAAGTATCAAGTGTCATGTTCTTACAACCACAAGGCAAGATCCTTCAAGGCCCCCAAATTCTGAGGTGTTTGAGGAATCAGGTAGGGATCACATACCTGTAGGTCTCTATGCAGAAGTGAAATCAGTCAAAATGTTTTTTACCCTGAACATAAGCTTCTTTCTTCAGGTTAGGGCATTTTCTAGGTAGCCTGGTGGACCTTGCAGCCCTTATTCTTGAACTGGGTAATCATTGAGCTGGCCACCATCATTGATTATCTCTGTCCTTACTCTCTAAGGACACAAACACCTTATGATCAGGACCTGGCCAATGAGTTTGGAGCGTACCTGAAATATTGGTGGCTCCAAATACTCTCCCACATGACTGTCTTATACATATCAACCCTTTGCAATGTCCTGTCTCACAGATCTTTAGGTTTGGCTTACCCTAGTCCATTGTGGTTCCTCTGAACTATGGTCTACATGGCATTATTAGGATGGAACTAAACCATATCTATGTATCATCATGTTCTCCTGTCTCCTAGCTTGCAACTCCATGAAGACTGGTTCCAAGACTGACCCTGCCCGCCTCCCAGTACTCAGACACAGGCAATTACAAAAGACTGAGGCACCCATGGAAATTCCACCTGAAGCCATGCAGGAATACATGGATATTATGGACTGGCTAGAGAGGCTTCCACAGTCATACACAGGAGAGCCCACAGAAAAAGAAGAAGAGGAGAACAGTGAGCTGGAGCAGGAAGAAGATGACTTCTACTCAGATGCAGGAGTCCTGAGTTACATTGATGAGCTGTGCTCCCAGAAACACTTCATTGACCAAGTGAGTTGCAACTGGAGCCGTGGTGTGGGCCAGATTCTGAGTTTGGCATCCCAGTCCTTGTAACTGAGCCTGCTTCCCTCCCTTCAGGGCTCTCTCTATGTCTCTATGTCTCTCCTTCGCTCTCTCTCTCTCTCTCTCTCTCTCTCTCTCTCTCTCCCTCTCTCTCCCTCTCTTGTTTGCGTGCTTGTGGGGGGGGGTGGGTGGGG